CGCCCGCCCGCGCGCTGGGGCATCTCCAGCTCTGGAGGGCTATTTCAGGAAGCCTCCAGTCTCCTCCTCCTTATGTAAATAAACATGACAGATCCCCTCGCCTGTACCAGCGCGGGGGCGGGGAGGCTCCGAGTGGGTGGGAGCTGGAGGCGGCCGTGAGCAGGGCCAGGGGGTGTGCATGCGTGTGTGGCCGGCTGGCGGGCGGGCGTGTGCGTGCGGGAGGGAGCGCGTGGGGACGCAGGAGGGGCCGCTCGGCCCTGCCATGCCGGCCGGCCGCGGGGGAGGGCTGGGGGGAGGAGGAGGGGAGCTGGCGCCCGGGGCGGCTTGGTGACGAGGCCAGCCGGCCAAACGGTGGTGGCCGTGCTGTCCTGTCCGCTGCCGGAGATGGGGGGACAGATCACCCGGAGCACCCTCCACGGTAAGGCCCCAGCGGATCCTAGGGGTCCGCCCACCCCCAACCTGGGGACCACCTGGGAGGCTGGGACCGAGGGGCACTGGGACTCAGGGCTTGGTCATCCCCCTGCCTCCTCATTGGTTGGTGGGCACCTTTGAGTGGTAGGCACTGGAGTGGGGAAGCAAGGAGGGCTGGGGAGCAGAAAGGTCAGGCAGCTGAGTCCCCCTACAGAGTCTCCGCGTTCTGCTCCCAGGGTGTTGATCAGCTCCCAAGTGGGATGTAAGGTCTTGGGTGTCTCCCTACCTCTCCCGAGGCCTGAGGCAGACCACAGCTGGGGGGCTACATGTGGGCTGTGGAGGTGGTGCTCTGCTCTTTGATGGAGCTGGAGAGAATGCGTGGCACACACATGTGTGCACGAGTGTCTGTGCTCATGAGTGTGCACTGGAGGTGTCTGCGGGTATGTACCTGTGCTGGCTTGTGCCTAAGCACATGAGTGTGCTAGTGACAGCTCACATAGTGCCTGGGTTTTCAGAGTGTCAGAACTTCTGATCCTTGGGGCCCCCTCCACTGTGAGACTGACAGAAGTTCAGGGGAGGGGGCCAGCCGGCTTGTCCTCTCATCCCTCTGGTTCTAGAGCTGTGGTCTTGGAAGCAACATGGCTGATGTGGTACCAGATCCAGGAAGGGGAAGGCTTCCTCAGGACTAGGAACTGGGGTTCCTCTACAAAGTGGCTGTTGACAGAAAGCACGCTGACGGTGGGAAGTCCTTACCACACTCCCCTGAGCTCCTTCCCTTGGACTCCACAACTCCATCTGCTGAGTCTGCTGGGCATCCAGGGACCTGGGAAAGGCCCAGACAGGAAGAAGGGTGGTAGCAGAAGCCATTGGGAAGCCGAGCCTAGTGACCAGTTGGCATCCCCCTTCTAGGCTCTGAACTTTGGGACTATAAATTTTAATTTAAAAAGAAAAGGCAGAAAAAGACATGGGAAATGCAAATCATTTGCTCTCTTAAAAGGAAATTTATTTTGTCCTGGGCACGGAGGGCCAAGTGACAGATGGAAGGCCCTGGAAGACACATAATCCGGAGTCAGCCAGGGGCAGTGCCATTGGCCTGGGCCTTGGCCCGAGACTTGGGTTGGGCTGACCTGGGCCTGGCCTATCCGTCTGTGGGGTGGGGGTTCTTTTCAGGGCTCGCTGTTGGCAGAGGGTCTGGAGCCGCCTGACATTTTCCACTGGAGTCAGACTTGGGCAATCTCGTGGCCTGGGAAGGACAGAGAGGCACTCAGTGCAGGCTCCGGACGCAGTACATGGCCCTCCAACTGCTTCCAAGCACAGCATCACAGGGGCCAGAGGACCCCGAGAGCTCCCGAGCACATGATCTGGAGTAGACGAAAGAGGGCAGGGGTTGTGATGAGGGCAAGGGTCTTCCTGCGCTTCCGTGTTCTCCTGTGTCTGTGGGGTAGCCCCATCAGGGGAGCCTGAGGATCACGTGGATGGATGCGAGCAGGGAACTTGGGGAAAATCAGGAGGGCTTGCCTTCTGAGCCCAGGAGTCACAGTCCTGCCTTCCATACGCCCCATTTCCCTGGGGACAGGAGGATGGCTTAGGTGGGCATCCAGGCTGGGTGGCCCTTGGTGAGTGTTAATCAGATGCCCTATCTGCCTCCCTCTGTCTCAGGCTGGGTGTCCCTAAACTGGCCCCAGCCACTGCCACCACTGCCATCCACATCAGTCTAGGGGGTGTGGGTGTGTGCCTGTGCCCACACAGCCCCCGCCAGAACCCCTGCCTGCACGTCCTACGCTTCTGCACTCGTGCCCACCCTGTATGCACACACCAGCTACTTGGTGGTTTTGCCTCCTGGGAGGGGCATGGGGCCAGTGTGAGGTTCAGGGCTTGGCTCCTTCTTAGTGGTGCTTTCAGTCTGCACAGACTCCCCAAAGACACGTTGACGTGGTCCTAGTTTGTATTTCCTCTGTGGCCTTGGGCTTTTGGTTTGCCTAAAGCCCCCAAATTTTGGATTGCTGGGCTATGGTGGATGAAGGGGAAGTGGCAGAGACTGACTCGGGACTCTAGGGTGGTGGTGGTGGCATGATCTAGTTTTGTGCATGAGGATATGTTTTGGGTCTCTGTGTGTTTGGTGTCCACAGAGTGTGTTTTGGGTCTGTCTTTGTATACCTCTGTTATGTGTCTCTTGTCTGTGTGTTGAAGGGATTGTGTATTGTTCTGTGTTTCCATGTGAGCAGCCACATTTGTGGTATATTGTGTGCCTATGACATGCCTGTGTGTGTGTGTGTGTGTGTGTGTGTGCGTGTGCATGTGCATGCGTGCGTATGTGTGGTGAGGCTGCTGGTGAGAAATCAGGCTCCTCTGGGACCAGCCTGGCAGGGGACTCACGGGGGAAATGAATTCCCAGTTGGAAATGGTTTGGGCAGTGGCAGGCTTGATCTCTTTAATCCGGCAGGTTCCCAGAGCTGCTCCTGGTCTTGTGGGCAGGCTGGTGGGGGTGGGGCGGGGGCTCACAGAGGGAGGCAGCAGTGGTTCTGAGAACCCCCTCTCCTCTCCCTGACCCCCTCTTCTTTTCTCTTCACTTTCTATTCTTCCTCGGCCACCTCCCTTAGGCACTCCCTCCCAGGGCAAGGGGCGGACCGCTGCTGAGGGACTGACACTTGGATAACACCTGATGCACACTCAGACATGTCACTCCCAGCTTTGTCTCTGGGTTTCACAAACCTGAGTGCTGGGGGTGCCAGGGTTCAGGGACCTGAGATATTGGTTCCTACTCCCTCCTTTCGCAGAAGGGGATACTGTGCTCTGGAAAAGGAAATGGCTAGCTAAAGTCATGCGGCTGGTGACTCAGAGGGGATGCCAGGCCTTGTCCTATCAGGCTGACTCCCTACTTCTCCTTCTTGGGTTCCTTAGTCCCCAAGCCAGCAGCGGGGGAGGAGGAATCCCATGGTCTTATGAGCCCTGAGATTAGTGCGGAGGGAGCCACCAGTTTCCCAGCAGCAGTGGTGGGGGCTTAGGCCAAGGTGAGCTCCCTGGAGCTCCCAGCAGCAGTGGTGGGGGCTTAGGCCAAGGTGAGCTCCCTGTGACCTTCTGTGCACAGGCACACCTGCATCCCACTGGGCCTGCGGGCTCTAGAAGGGCAGGTGGTAGGCTGACCCAACTCCATGTTCCCTTAACTCAGCCCAGTGCTCGGTGCTCAGTGGACACCAGCAGGTGCTCAGTCAGTGGGGAAGTGGGAAGCGTGTGGGGTACTGCTGCCTGCTGGAGCTGAAGGTGGGTGTCAGGGAGAAGAGGTGAGATTGAGCTGGGCAGCTGAGTGCAGAGAGGAAGGGGAGTTGGGGCAGTTGTTCTGGGTGAGAGTCGGCTGCTCTGCTCTTACTGGCTGTGTGTCTTAGGGTCGGTCCCTTCGTCTGCCCAAGTCTCAGCATCCTCGTGCATGGACTGGGGATGGCAAGGTCTTCCTGCAGAGGTGTAGCAAGGATCCAGTGGACTAACAGGCTCCATAGCAGGGCACTGGCCTGTGGTAAATGGGGTCAGGCTTTCATGAAGGTTTTGTGGAGGTGCCTCAGGCCTGGGTGTGGTTGCCCCTGCACCTGCAGCTGTGGCAGGCCCCAGGACAGTGTTCCCGGAGTGCTCATGTCCCCTGTTAGGCACTCCCACCATCTGTGTGTATGCATGCACACAGGCGGGAGAGCTCAGGGTGGAGGTCTGTGTGGCAGGGTGTTTTGATGTGAGTCATGCCTCCCCTCATTGTCTCAGGCCTGGCCTGGTGGACTTTGGAGAGGTACTGGGAAGACAGGGACAGGAAGCTGAATCATCCAGAATCCCCTTCTGGAACCTTGAGGTAGGAAAAGGGAAGAGGAGGAGGACTGGTCTGCCTCCCAGCAGTGAGGATTTTCAGAGGCACAGCTGCCTGCACATCTGGCTGCTGGGAATGGCAGATTGGGTGTCCTAGTGTGTGAGAGAGGCTTGGTTTGGAGATGCACTTGGCTATGGAGGTGGCAGTCATCTGTTYCTGGACACACTCCCCACCTGGGCATCATGTTCTGTTCATTCTTCCAGGCAATAGGCAGTCAGGTGCTCTGGGGAGACGATAGGGTGCTAACGTGGCTCCTCACTCTGGGTTGAAGGTGTGTGCACGAGGGCTGAGAGGTCAAGGAGAAACTGGCTTGGGTGGAGTGGAAGGCTCAGGCAGGGGAGAGAGTGCTGAGCACACTGGTGTGACAGATCAGAGTTCAGGGCTGAGCCCCGCCCCCTTGCAGCTATGTGACCTTGAACAGAGCCTCTGTTTCCTTATCTACCAAACGAAACTATCAGTACTGCATTAATTATCTATTGCTGTACAAACCTTAGCAGTTTAAAACAACAAACATTCAACTGTCTCACCTTCTGTGGTCAGGAATCTGGTGTGGTTCACTGGGTGCTCTCGCGAGGATGTGGTCATATTGGCTGGGGCTATAGCCTCATCCGAAGGCTCACCTGGAGGGCAGCCATTTCCATGCTTACTCAGTTGTTGGCATTCTTGGTCCCCCACAACATGGGAGTCTCCATGGGRCCTCCTGTGATATGGCAGTTGGCCTTCCCAGAGGGAGCAGCTCCAGAGAGGCCAGGGAGAGTGACCAAGATGGAAATGATGGTGTTTTTGATAACTTGGTCTTGGGAGTGACATGCATAACTTCGGCTGTATTCTACTCTAAAAGTGAACTTTGGGTCCGTCCAGTCCACGCTTGGGGGAGAAGGAGGCCACATAAGGGCAGGAAGGCCATGAGGAGGATGGGAATCACCACAGTACGGGTGGCTTCCCACAGATCGGGATTGGGAGGGCAAGTCAAGTTTGGATATGAAGGGCGGGTGCAGTGTCTGGTATACAAGAAAGATCAACACACAAAGACTTCCTTTCTCTTCCTTTTTCCCTGCCAGCAAGTGGATAGCTATTGAAGGGCCTCCCCCCACCACCACATCCCCAGTCCTTTTTATTTTTTGAGACAGGATTTTGCTAAGTTGCTTAGGGCCTCACTA